CCACAGGCAAGAAATCGCCTTGGATTATGGTTGAAAAAACTGCTGCCAGTAAAAATGATGTTAACAAGAGCAACAGGAGCGTGATGGTCTGCACCTTCAGCTCCAGCAGTGCAAACAGCACGGGCTGCGCATCTGGGCAAACTTCTGCTGTAAAAGCCAGCACAAAAGATTCTGTGAAAAAAAGCTCCAGCAAATGCCAGACCTTGGAAAAAAAGGTTGGGCTGTCCAAACTGAGAAATGCTTCTGCTGCTGTTGTCCCTGTTGACGCTGCTACTGCCGCAGTTGCTGCAAGGTCAACACATATGCCAAAATCTGAAAAGCATGATGCGGCCAAGGTAAATGTGGAAGGGGCAACAGGAAATAAGGCATCAAACGTGAAGCCTAGAGGGATGAGGCGGATGAGGAAGTGGGTGAGTAGAGCTTGGTCAAGTGTAGCGTTGAGTAACTGGCATGATGGCATCTAAGGTAAAGCTGGTGGGGGTGATGTGGAATGATGGTGGTAGGGGTACACCCCCTTTTTTCCGTCCTGCCTAGCAGGATGTTGTGGGAATGATAGGAATAATGGTGGATGGTGAGAAAGGAATGGCATGGATGCCAATTTAGACTTGGTAGTACTGCCTGTTGTAGTAATTTCTATAAATGCATCATCTTTTCATCCTCTAGTATGGATTACGTTGAACAGAGAGCACAGAATGGCGGAATGAGTGTGAAATAGAGATTCATGAGGTCTGCTAGCCATGTTTCATGCTCAGATGGAACCCTTTCTGTCTGAGCAGAATATACACAAAACTTTCATAGTTGAACAATCATGGTGACTTGAAACGGAAAACCATGGTCAGTGCTGAATTTCAGTGGTCAGATCATGGACCTATGACATAAATGAACATTGATAGAATTGTAGACCATGATGACAATAATTGGTCAGGCTGCCCTGTTCCCAATCCCATCATACACGGCCATATTCCCACTAATATCATCCCACCACCAAGCTCCCACTATCATCATCCCACTGCTATGTTCCCACTCTCATCATCCCACCACCTTTTCTCCATTCCACTATCATCAACCCACTGCCACGTTCAATTTGTATTTTTCCACTGCCATGTTCCCACTGTTATCATGGAGGGCTTAGAAGGGAAGGAGGAATGAAGCAGGAAGGAACGGGGTGACGTTGCGAGACTAACAGATGTTTCCATATTTCCAATACACTTCTTTTTTATGCTTGTCCCGGCACCTCCCATTGCCATTGTTCACAAAAACATTTCAATTTTCACGTGTTTTTTTTTTTTTTTTTTTTTTTTTTTTTTTTTTTTTTCCCAGTGAGCTTGTCATTGCCACTTCTCCTGTTAGCTGCCCCCATTTTCCATTGTCCAGCCAGCTTGATGGTTGTAATCACGCAGTCTTGGATGAGGTGATGGGAGTGTGAGGTTGGAGGAGGTGATGGGATTGTGAGATGGGATGGGGTGATGGGAGTGTGAGATGGGATGAGATGATTTTAGTGTGAGATGGTATGAGGTGATGGGAGTGTGAGATGGTGTGAGGTGATGGGAGTGTGAGATGGGATGAGGTGATGGGAGTGTGAGATGGGATGAGGTGATGGGAGTGTGAGATGGGATGAGGTGATGGGATTGTGAGATGGTATGAGGTGATGGGAGTGTGAGATGGGATGAGGTGATGGGAGTGTGAGATGGGATGAGGTGATGGGACATTGGCCATCTTTAGGCAACTTAGACATTGGCATCTTTCAACTTGTCAGATTCCCTGCCTGCTTTCACTTGACATCTTCCCTGTTTGTTCAGCCAACATGACATTACCAATTTCCAGTAAGCTTCTCATTTTCAGTCATCTACCAATTACCGTTTCCATTTTCCACTAATTGTTCTCACTCCTGTTTCCAGATTCGCATTTGCCATTTTCCGACTAGTCAATTGCCCATTGCTTGCCATTTTCCAATCAGCTTCACTTCACTATGCCATTTTTGTCCTGCCAAGGTCTCATAGGCATTTGGTCCTCGAGTTTGCGTTGCCATTCCTTACCGAAAGCACTAACTTTCCAGCCAGTTTCCCACTGTACCTTTCAAGTCTTAGCTAAGTGGCGATTCAATCAACTCTATCACCCATAGTTATTTATATCCTGACCATCTTTCCGTTGCTAAATGCCTTCCCGTTGCAATTTCTTCCCCTGCCGCTTCAGCGTTACACTGCTCTCTCATGCATAAGCTGCTACAGAATCGCCCTATCCACATGTCTATTATCCCAGCACCCATCGTTCTGCCCAGCCAACTCATGCCTACATGCCTGCGTCACACAATAGAGGCACTCCTCCCACAACCTCCCATCATATTGTGCTTACTTTTCTTTGTCATTTGTATTCTTGCTTCTTGTTCTCAAATCTCCTGCCGATTTCGCTTTCATTTTTCCAGACACCTTACATGCTGTTAGCGAGTTGATGGTATGGCTATGTTTTCAGTTGATTCTGTATTGCCGTGTACTTTCCACAT